GAGGGCACTTCCTCCTCTCCTTCCTCACGGCGCCACACACCGGCACACCACGCAGCAACACACCGTCTCTTCTCCTTTCTCCGAGACATCTCCGCATCTTGCCCGCGCGCCTGCCTTCGGCCTTATCCTCCTTGACAACCGGTGGCGAGAGGGCACGAGCGTCCACGCAATAAGATAATCGCTCGCAGACGTCCGCCTACTGCGCTCCGAGATAGTTGTCTTCGTAAAACCCGTCGACGCAGTTCGCCCGTTTCCGTCCTCGTCGACGTCAACGTCAACGTCAACGTCAACGTCTTCGTCCTCGTCTTCGACATCGCGGTTGATACCGGACTATACGGATCGGAACAGTACCTACGCCTTTGCTAAACCAAGGATGCAACGTCACGTCTGCCTCGTCGTCGGGACGCTGCTGCTGTGTTGTCTTCAAGGTCGGTATCATTTTTAATTCTCGCGGCCGAGGCTCGATCGACGCCGAGGCAGATTCTCGATCGCGTTCCGCGCGCACCGGTGAAAGTCGCAACAGGTCGCAACCTCCTTTCGGTTCGCGTCTCTCTCGCGAAACCTTGTCCCTGGTTTCCCCGTTTCCTCGTTCGTTCCTTCGTTCGTTCGTTCGGTCGTTCGGCGGTTCGGAAACAGGAGCGGGCGCGCATGCGGTCGCATGCATGCCCGTTCACCCCCGCGTTTCTGCCTCCGGCTGGCCGCCGTTGCACCGTAGCCCGCACCCGTGGTTACCGCGCGGAAATTCCACCGTCTCGGAAAATGATCGATAATTCGTTCCCGTCTGCCGCAACTAATTTCAACGGTTCCCCGCGAACTGGGTCAGAGCCGACGGGCTCGCAAAGTTCAAAGGGACACCGGGATCACCCGAGCCCGGAATGCAAATAGAACGGTGTCCACGTCCGGCCCGTAAATCAAACGAGAGCAACTCACCATTGTCCGGATTTATTTCGAGCCGGCGCGGAACTCGCGCGTGCGAAACACTCCGGCCCGGGCTTTTGTAAGCGGAATTAACGGCTTCGCGGTCGTTAATATTCGGTTTGTCCATTGTAAGAGAGCCCGCGGCCCATTACGCGGCCTAACGGTAATCGGGAACGATTCGATATCGGCCGTGGAATTCGACCATGAAACGCGAGAGGTGTGTGCTGGACACGCCTGAATTATTTCCACGTCCAGGATCGCAGCGGATAGCGCGCGCGATTCGCACGCGATCCGACTCCTTCCGGAGCGGCCGGGGGTCGATGCTTCTCTATCGTCGCCGAACCGTTCACCAACACCCTCTTGTCCCCCTGCAGCCCTTTTTCTCGGCAAATGGCTTTAGTCGGAGCGCCCATTGAATTCTCCGCAGGGAGCCGGTATCTCTCCGCGGCCAAGTGCGATGCTCTTTCAGTCGCCACGCCGCACCGCTCCGCTTCGAACGGGGAGGAACAGAGACCAAAGGAAAAAGGAGGACCGATGGTTTTTCGTTTTAATCTCCCGCACGGTCGCGACGGCTCGTGCACGAGCCGGCTCACGAGAGGGCGAGTTCCTTCCTCTTCCTTTCCTATATCTACGCTCCTATGCGCATAGTCCTCGTTTCATCGTTTCATCCCGTCATCGTTTAATCGTTTCATCGTTCCATTGTTACAATGGCGGGCAGCAACGCTCTTGCTCCCTTCGTTCACCGTACCACACGTCCCTCAATTCGCGCGACACCTTTTTTTACGCGAACTTCCTTGTCCTGCTTCGAAATTTAGTCCGCTTCAACTTCGACATAGGGTAAGTGTGACTATTACCGCGGACGTCCCATATACCGTGGTATATTATTTTATAGAAGTAATAAAATCTAACGTTTTACAGCGCGTGATCTTCTAGAAACGAATCCCATAATTTTTTATACGTTTAATATTGATAATTTATGACGTACAAGTAGCAGCAATCGCAGTTCTAATTCATTGTTCGTCGACTCTTGATATTACTTACTAGCGTAGTACATACGTACTTGGCGCATAGTTTTTTTTTACTATGTGCGTACATTACCGTGGCGCTTTACCGAACCGCGTATCTTAACCTATACTGTGCAGTTCTCGACGAGCCGGCGCGAACACGCTTGATCCTGGAGTACGTACACACCTAATTAGTAAAGTGCTGCATGTGAGAATATCTTGATCCGTAGAAATTGTAGCCGCGTGTGTACATTTAAAAGAAAATGGGTTATGTCAACGTTGACACGCAGCAATCAGAACGTCCGCGGTATGTATTTTAAGTCTCGGTAATAGATGCATAACCTCGGTAATATATGCTTACGCATAGTTTCTTTACGTTACGCTTTTTAATGAGATTCGTGCTTTCAGAGAAATTCAGTATTTGGAGAAAACTAGATATTCAAATTAAAGAATAATAGGTTATTCGTAGGCTGATAGGTTAGCTCGAGTTGTCGATTTATTTATTATATTCATCGACAAACCGCAGTAATATCTATACTCGTCCTAGGCTGCTTTAACTTCGATACAAATGTTCGAAGTTGAACAGCTTCTCCGGCTTCAACGTAAAAGATATCATCGTTTCATATTCGGTTCGATCCGCTGCGCGGCGTGGGCGACGGAGGAGGAACGCACCGACGAGAATCGTCGGTGATAATTAATTGTGAAAGTCGAAAAAAAAAAAACGCTTCACGGTATCGCGGAGATCTGGGCTAGGATCATGGACGTCGACCTCTGCGCAACGAATCTCTCAAGGTCGCTGGAATCGCGACGAAACAACCGCGCGCGCGACCGGGTTTAATTAAGGAAACGAGGGAAACGCATCGGGTCGCGCGATCAGCGGCAGATAGCCGGCGAGGAATGTCTCCGGCGAGTGTGTTGGCGGTGGTTCGATCGAACGGATCGATACACGCGTTGCACGCGAAAGGGTTCCCCCCGGGTGCGCCTCCGACCGAGGGAGACCACGAAAAAAAGAAGGATCGCGATTCGCGCGGGATTCGCAATTAGCTGAGATTAGCGAATAGATTGTTGTTAACACGTTATCGTCCGGATGGCTAAAGATAGTCATTTTCTCAACTGCTCGCGAAATGCCGGGGACGGCTACCAATAGTCGACGCTTAGTAAAAAGAACCTGATATAATTGTTAATTAATTTTTAACTTTTTCCCAATTAATTTAATGTCTTTAATTAATTGAATTTTCTTCTTGAAAAAATTCGGTCGTGGTCGCTCCTGCGACCAAACTTGTTCGCATTGTTTCCATTGAAACATCGATGCCGTGTGTTCAATCCGTTGTAGTGGTAGCATTTCTTTGTTTCACACCCCGTATGTACATATGCGGAAATCGTGAATCGGAAACGCGAGATAAAATCGTCGTTCCTGAACGACTATTTTGCGTTTCCGTTCATCGGCCGGATAATCCCCGGCGCTGCCAATTAGCGTCTCGTGTTTTAATTAATATTAGCCGAAAGGGTTGCCCTCGGCTTCTCACGGAACCCGCCCGGTCGGACCGTTGGCATTCTCACGCACCTAAGCGCTACCAACGAGCTCTCTCTCTCTCTCTCTCTCTCTCTCTCTCTCTCTCTCTCTCTCTCTCACTCTCTCTCTCACTCACACACACAATTTTTCTCTTTCTTTCTCTGTCACACACGTAGCCTCTCTCTTTCTTTCTTTGTCACACATACAGTCTCTCTCTCTCTCTTTTTCTCTCACTCTCTCTCTCTCTCTCTCTCTCACTCATACACATGATCTTCCTCTTTCTTTCTCTGTCACACACATGGTCTCTCTCTTTCTTTCTCTATCACACATACAGTCTCTCTCTTTCTCTCTCTCACTCTCTCTCTCTCTCTCACTCACTCACACACACAATCTTTCTCTTTCTTTCTTTGTCACACATATAGTTTCTCTCTCTCTCTCTCTCTCTCTCTCTCTCTCTCTCACTCACTCACTTACTCTCTCACTCATACACATAATCTTTTTCTTTGCTGTCACACACATAGTCTCTCTCTTTCTTTCTCTGTCACACACACAGTCTCTCTCTCTCTCTCTCTCTCTCTCTCTCTCTCTCTCTCTCTTTCTCTCGCGTGCGCGGTTCTATTCCGCATCCCTGGTGGCTGCCTCGGCGCTGTCTCTTATACACATCTAGATGTGTATAAGAGACAGCTCTCTCTCTCTCTCTCTCTCTCTCTCTCTCTCTCTCTCTCTAATCACGCTGTTCATTGCGCGATCGGCGGCGTCACTAAAGTCGTCCCTGGTACAATTTTGTTGCCGTGAAACGTGCCGCGAACGGGTCGACGAAGAAAAAAGGGAAAAGATAGGATCTACATTGTTCCCGCGTCGAACCTCGAACGGAAAATGGGTCGCGCTCGTACGGTTGTGTGCTTACCTGGAAAATGAATCGTGTCGCACGAACGACGCGGTCCAAGATCCAGTCGAACCGCGATCGTCGACCGGTGCGTGTCGCCGAATTCGCGAGTGCTACAGTTGTTCGCAGAGTCTCTCTCTCGAACTCGTCGAGCTCGTAACATAGTGCGTTGCGTGTGCATCAAGTTTTTCTCGCGAACGGTAAGCACTGACAAAAAATGAAGGAGGAGCAAGATGTATCGTTTCAACCCTTTGCACCCGAAAACATTTCACGTTTACACCCGAAGCAGTTTCTCCGATCTACGGTATTTTCATTTTACATAACCTAGCGCATTTTATGCGTATCAAATTCATTTCTGTGACTAGCTATTTTTGTTATTATTATTTATTAATTAATAATATTATATATTATATTATATTATATTATATTATATTATATTATATTATATTATATTATATTATATTATATTATATATATTATATGTAATATTATTAATTATTATTAATGAATAATATTATACGCAGTGATTTAATCGAAAGTATGCAGTATAAATTGCATCCCTAGATTTCATAGTCGCCGACAAAATTTCTATTGTTGCTGCGAATGTTTACGTATCGGATAACCTTCGAGTAGTGAGCAAATATTTTCGTTTCGCAGACTGCAAAGACGTCATCGGTCGACGCGTGTGCGGCGGGTTTACTGTCTTTAGGGGTTAGGTTCGCGCGACGGTTACGCTTGCGACGCACTTTTTACCATCGATTTATAAATACAACCAAATTTGTTCATTGCAAAACTACTTCAACGAGTTATAACGACGCCACAGAGTCGTCATGCGTGTGCAGAGAGTTAACAATAACGATAATAATAGTTTATCGATGCCTGAAAGGATTAATAGTGTTGTGAAAAGTGTGACATGGGATATGCTGGCACGACTCTCCACGCTTGGAAAGGTACGTTGCTAGCTTTGATCTGCCCGAGATAGTTTCGATCCTGCAACATTAATCATCGACGGGTTAAAATATTCGATCGGCCGCGGCGCGTTGATAGGGTCGGCGTGTTCGTGCTGGCCGAGGGGAGGGACGCGCAAGAAATTAAGTATGCTAATCGAGAGGTGTTCTCGTCGTTTTGGAGGTCGAGAGGAATCGCGGGCCGAAAAGGGAGGAGTCGGCGTGTTGGATCGCGGCGATGCCGATAAGAATTACCGAGCTGCGGAATCGTTGGCGATAATGGCTTTCCAATATCGGCATAGCACCGATATATACCGATATATTTATACATGTGTGTGTGTGTGTGTGTGTATATATATATATACACGTACAGTGACCCTGATTCGATACGAAATGCGAAACGCATTTGTTCAATTTCCGTTACAGGATCGGATAAAAAAAGAAAGAAGTTAAAAAATGAAAGCCTTTTATTTGCTTTTGTCATTCCAAGCAATAGCAAAATTGAAAAAGAAACCATTCCAGTTACGGTCCAGCGGACTGATCCCATTATAGTTTATTAATCAGCGTCGCTGCGCATATATTCCAACTTTTATTTCGATATTTTTTTCCTCTCTTTCCGTTCTTTACTTTCCGCATTTGCTTCGACTTACTCGAGAGACTGCTGTATAAAATCTCTTTATTTGTTATCACGTGTTGTGTAACGAAGGGTTTTCCTGCCCGTGTACCTGATCGGATTATTAACATTATTATTGCTATTATTACCGTAAACGCTCCGGGAAAGTTAGGTTCGAAACGAGAGGCTAACGAGCACCCGACACCGATCCGTCCGTTAAGTAGCGAGCCACGGCTAAGAAGGGGCCGCGCGTACCCTCGTTTTCCACTCGCCGGGAAATTCTTCGATCACGGTGCCGCTTACATATCGCGATACGTCTCGGTAATAGCGCTCGGGTTCGATCGGGTTTACGAGCCGAAACGCGCGCGTCGTCTCCGAGGAGCGTGACGCGCGCCGAGGAAAGTCGAATTCGTTTCCGCCGCTCGTTGCCGCGCGCGCGACGCTCGTGAGACGCGCGCCTCGCGTGTCGTTGGAAAGTGTTATCGAACGCTGGTCGTTCCGACGACGTCGGTCGAGGCTCTCGCTCGATCCCGGGGACTTCAACGAGCGAACGCGAAGCGTAACAGCTGTGTCGTTCTCGTGTTCCCGCGGCGAAGCAGCCTCCAGGGATGCGGAATAGTACCGCGCACGCGAGAGAAAGAGAGAGAGAGAGAGAGAGAAAGAGAGAGAGAGAGAGAGAGAGAACGGGATCTCGTTGGAGCGCGAAGCGGCGCTTTATTATTTCGTTATAATCTCCAGGAGCTATAAATTGCGAACGGTCCGCTCGTTTGAAAATATAACCGCGGTTTCGTACGGAATCGGCGAAGGGGTCGGTTACCTTGCGTATGGAAGCATTACATATTTCTGTATCCACGTAGAGAAGTTGCTCGACCATCTCTCGTTTCCCTATTGCGAGGCGCGGCACGTTTCGTCCGATACCGACCAGCGCCGAGAAACGCTCGACCATATAGGTGCCTCGATAAAAGATGATCCTCTAAAAGCGTTACGGTTTCGGTTCATTGACTTTCCTCGGCGCGTTCGGCATCCTCGTGACCCGGTTCTCCGCGTCGCCTTGCCTCGTCTCGACCCGACCCGTCCCCGTCCCACAGGAAACCGTTCGTGCCCGCTTCCACAACCACAGAGAAAAAGAGAGCATAACAGAGAAGGGAAAAGGGTTGCTCAGTGAGTCGAATTCCCGGTAGGTTGTAATTCCTACGAGCATGGAACGGGTTATTCACGCTCAAATGGACTCGCGTGCTCGTCTGAACGGAAAAACGCGACGGTCCGGTCCCTCGCGCGCGGATCTTCTGCTTATTAAATCGCGAATTAACGAACGGCCAGAAACCCCGTCGCGACGCGATTCGACACGACGCGACGCGATTCGACTCGAGGCGACTCCACTCGACGTGACGTGACGCGACGCGATTCCACTCCACTCGACTCGACGCGACGCGACTCCACTCGACACGACTTCACTCGACTCGACTCGACGCGACTCGACGCGACGCAACCCGACACGACTTCACTCGACGCGACTCGACGCGACTCGACACGACTCGACGCGACTCGACGCGACGCAACCCGACACGACTTCACTCGACGCGACTCGACGCGACGCAACCCGACGCGACGCAACCCGACGCGACCCGACTCGACTTGAGGCGACTCCATTCGACGCGACTCGAGGCGACTCCACTCGACGCGACGCGCCGGAATTGGCTCGAGCAATCTGTCGCCTTTAATTAATTCGTCCCGCGGGCCGGCTCGGGCCTGGTAATCGCGGACGATTACCTTGCTCGCTCGCCTGCCAGCCAGCCGCGACCGGCACCGACGAGATCCACGGCGATCCGGAGCCGGCCAGCCGGCACCTTCTCCCGATCGTGATTCACGGAAAAATGGAAAACGGTGCGCGCGTGCCAATTAGCGCCGGCCACGTGTAATTACATGTATAACGGGCGAGAGATCGCTCGCGTTCCGACATCCTGTTCACGTTCCGTAAGGGGACTCGCTGTCCGTGCAACGAATCCCGCGGCTCCACGAACCAAAAACCTTTTCGTTGCCGAACGATTCAAGGTCGTTTCCCACGATCGTTCCAGAGATACCGCTGTTTTTATCACTAATTGCCGCGGGTGGAGTGTCCGTTCCGTTCCGTTCTGTGCCGTACCGTGAAATATAATGCTCCCGGTTTTTGACCCAGTCCTCGCAATTAGCCCAGTTTCGGCACAGAATCGTCGTACCCATGCTCGTATCTGTCTTCAGGATTTCCTGCACCCGTCGGACACGTTTATACCGGTCCAACGAAAAATAGTGCTTCCGTTTTCCTACAAGCGATCTCCGAATGTCGCGTCCGCTTCGGAAACAGTCCGGACGCGTTCTGGATCTGAATGTTTCGCATAAAAATGCCCAAAGAATTGCCAAAGAATTGTCAAAGTATTTCCAATTAGAGCGAATATAAAATTCCTCCAAATTCCTCCTCGTTATTCGCCAAATGTTTTCTTATTTATTAATCCTTCGCTGTCAAAATAATTTCTATATTATCACACATTTAATACGCACAAAATGTTCCAGGTTTCGATTGCAAAGGGTATAAATTGCTACAATAACCCTCTTCATTTTGCTTGCTTTTTTGTGCACATCCTCGATATTCTTTCTTTCTCCGTTGCGTGAAAAAACTCTTAACGCAACACCTGTTCCTCGTCTTCTCCATTCAACCGTAGCGAAAGTGCAAGTAAATCTCGATCTATCCGATGGACGGTAATATACTCAATAATAAATGCATCGCGCACGGGGAACCGTACGCAAAGCATATACGTTTGGTCGCACGCGTCCGACGCTAACGGAAAATCTGATTTGCGCACGAACGTTGCGACCGATCGTAATCGCCGTTTACGTGTCGCGTTTCGGTCCGAATTTAATGGACGTTTGTACGTTTCCCGGATCCGATTGCCCCTTGAACGGAACTAACTCTCCGAGACTGACTCTCCGCCAACCATGAGACCGTCTAAACGCACTAATCGTTTCCCCGGGATTCGAACGACCCGTTCGTTCCCGTTACTCGAAAATGCTTAGAAAATATTTGTACGGCCTGGTTCTGTGACACCGAAACCGGCCCGCGAGGTGCCGGCTAGGTGGCCGCAAGGTGGCCGCAAGGTGGTGGGACGACGAGGCTGCGTGTTCCTCGTGTCGTGTCTCTCTGCTTTCGACGCCAGTTCTACTCGAGCCCGACGGCTCTCTTCATTTTTTCTCTCTCAGCGATCTTGCAGCCGAGAAGAGGACGTCGAGTTTAGGCGCAACCTCTTGCAACGTTCGCGCGTAGAATCATTTTAGCAAATAGATGCAAAAACGGTACTCCGCGACACCCGGTTTGTGCAGCGAGAGAAGCGGCGAGCGCGCTGGTGTCCAATTTCAAAACAAACCACGACCTTTTTTAGACGTTTCCGAGGACCGGCCAACAAAATATTTCGAACGTAACTCGATTCCCGTTCGCTTTTCTCCAAACTGGACGTAAAAGAGCTTGCATGAAATTTGCTTTGACGAAACATTGTCATCGTCTCCTTCGATATTAGAATTCTCTGTTGTCTAAAAATAGTAATAAAATGTAACCCGTTCTCTTTTCTCCAAACTAGACGTAAAAGAGCTTGCATGAAATTTGCTTTGATGAAACATTGTCATCGTTTCCCTCGATATTAGAATTCTCCGTTCTCTAAAAATAGTGATGACATGTAAACCGTTTTCGCAAAATCATTGATCGTAGTTGTCGATCAAATTATTGTAATCCAGCGCTATAATTTATTTACTAACCGTGTTCTGTCGTCACGAACGTTAACGCGATTCCGCTTTTAATCCGGATGATCGAGGTTCTAACCGTACAACATTTCCGACCGGATAATTATTCTATTATTATTATTATTCTATTATTATTATTATTCTATTATTATTATTATTCTATTATTATTATTATTCTATTATTATTATTATTATTATTCTATTATTATTATTATTATGATTATTATTATTCTATTATTATTCTATTCTCTTCTGTCGAGACGAATTCAACGACCTCGCCGCTATGTAGGAATACCCTTGAACCTTTGGAACAACGCTAAAAGATAATTGCGGTGACAGAAAGCGAATTCCGGGTCCGGCGGGGCCCATCCACGGCGTGGTCCTCTCTGCCGGTCACGTTTCATAATTCAAGATCCGTTTCCCGTGGCCGTTATTAACAGCCCTTTCAGCGTTCGCGTTCTCTGTCCGCTGTCCGGCGGACCGTTCGCTAACAGCGCGTGACCAACGTTTAATACCTTCGCCGATCTCTTTGACGATCCCTGAGACGCGGCGACGACAGGCCTGCAACACAAAGAGACGACGTGGCGGACACGCAGAAAGGATGGCAAAAGTGGCCGTAATCGAC